TGCGATTGCATTGTTTTTGCAAGCAAGGCACTGCTACCTCCTAGCCTTTCTAGGCTAAACCGTCCAGGTCATTGCTGGCTAAGTGTAATTTAAAAAAGATAAAGAAAATCACTGCCAAGCTCCATTTTGTTTCTCTGTGTTCTTTCATGGTTCACCAATGATGTATCACTTTACCTCAACCTTTTCCTTGTCTTCCTCAATACTGTGTCTTATCTCATAGTAGATCATAACTGGTGTGTTGGATTAATCATGCCTAAGATGTTCACTTCAGCTTGGTAAGAAATCATTCTTTCGGGGGTAATTTCAGGCTGTGTTCCTTCGGGGGGGGGCTTGCGCCCCTTCATTTTGGGGGATTTATCCTGCTGCCGCTCAGATGTCCCTTGATAGCAAAATATCTCCCTCTGGTGTCCAAGTGCCAAAGATTTATGTTAAATCTCCATCAGCACAAAGCATCTGTTAATTTGTACACACATATTCTGTATTGAATATTATCTTTACTGTTTTTTCTCTACCTACCCTTTTGAGTTAAATTTAGGATGAGACACGGATATTACGTAAGGTGATTGTCATTGGGGACATCGTCAGGCAGTGGAAGGTGCACTTTGAGGACCTCCTGTACCTGGCCATCATGTCCACCGTGAACGAGGCAGAGCCTGAAGACTCAGGGGAACTCTGGCCATATCCCTGGCAGAGGTTGCTGAGGTAGTTAAAAAGCTCCCCAGCGGCAAGTACACACCCTGAGATGCTGAAGACTCTGGACACTCTTGGGCTGTCTTGGCTGACATGCCTTTTCAGTGTCGCATGGAGTTTGGGTACAGTGCCTGCAGAGTGGCAGATTGGGGGGGTGGTCCCCATCTTCAGAAAAGGGGACCAGAGGGTGTGCTCCAACTATCAGGGTATCACACTGCTCAGCCTCCTGGGTAAAGTTTACTCCAGGGTACTGGAAAAGACGCTCTGACCGATTGTCGAACCTCAGATTCATAAGGAGCAATGCGGATTCTGTCCTGGCCGTTGAACAGTGGACCAGCTCTTTACCCTTGCGAGGCTGCTGTAGGGGTCAAGGGAGTTTGCCCATCCAGTCTACATGTGCTTTGTGGACTTGGAAAAGGCTTACAACCGCATCCCTCGGGGGGTCTTGTGGGGGGTACCGCAGGAGTACGGGGTGCCAGGCTCACTGCTACGGTCCCTGTATGACCAAAGTGAGAGCTGTGTCCGCATACTTGGTGTAAAGTCAAACATGTTCTCAGTGGGTGTTGGCCTCCGCCAAGGTTGTCCCTTGACACCAATCCTGTTTGTGATTTTCATGGACAGGATCTCGGGGCGCAGCCGGGGGGAGGAAGGGGTCTGGTTTGGGGGCCTCAGAATTGCATCTCTGCTTTTCGCAGCTGATGTGGTTCTGTTGGCTTCATCACACCATGACCTCCAGCATGCACTGGGGTGGTTTGCAGCCGAGTGTGAAGCAGTTGGGATGAGATTAATTACCTCCAAGTCTGAGACCATGGTTCTCTGCCGGAAATCAGTGGATTGCCCTCTCCAGGTTGGGGGAGAGTTGCTGCCTCAAGCGAGGGAGTTCAAGTATCTTGGGGTCTTGTTCACGAGTGAGGGTAGAATGGAGCGTGAGATGGATCGGCAGTTTGGTGCAGCTTCTGCAGTGATGCAGGCGCTGCGCTGGTCCGTCATGGTGAAGGGGGAGCTGAGTCGAAAGGCAAAGCTTTTGACTTACTGGTCCATCTACGTCCCAACCCTCACCTATGGTCATGAGCTCTGGGTGGTGACCCAAATAATGAGTTCGCAGATACAAATGGTGGAAATGAGTTTCCTCCGTGGGGTGGCTGGGCTCAGCCTTAGAGAAATGGGTGAAGAGCTCGGACATCTGGAGGGAGCTCGGAGTGGAGCTGCTGCTCCTTCACATCGAAAGGGGTCAGTTGAGGTGGTTCAGGCATCTGACCAGGATGCCTCCTGGATGCCTCCCGCTGGATGTGTCCCGGGCACGTCCTACTGGTAGGAGGCCCCGGGGCAGACCCAGAACATGCTGGAGGGATAACATATCTCGTCTGGCCTGGGAACACCTTGGGGTCCCCCAAGAGGAGCCGGAAAGCGTTGCTGGGGAGAGGGATGTCTGGGGTGCTTTGCTTGGCCTGCTACCCCTGTGACCCGGCCCTGGATAAGCGGATGAAAATGGATGGATCGATTGTCATTGCTTCCAAACATCCGTTAAATGTAGTGTTTTCCTTTCCTCCTCTGTTTGACTTGTTTGCCTTCAACACAACATGTAGACAGTCCAATAAAGATCACTTCTTAGGTTTCAATAAATCATTTCAAAGACGTAATGATGGTGCCATTTAGAAGAGAATTAGCTGCACCAACCTGCTCTCATCCCAACTTCACATATCGCTGCTTGGTCAGTGCCATTCATGTCTACATATTATGTGCCAGGTATCATCCTGCATTTGTTGGTGATGACCCAGTACACCGGTCAATGTAGGCTGTGCAACAAAAGCACATGGTTAGGTTTAGAAAAAAAACATCATGGTTTGGCACTACATTCATAGTGGAAGTGAACATCTGCCTCCCAGATGAAAGTACAAGGTTTGTTGGACCCATCCGCTACTTCCACCCACCCTATTGGGGCTTTTCAGCACCTTATATTATTTTTTTACCAGCAGTGTTTCAAACTGACAAGGTTCTGCGGCATATCATACCACCGTGACAGGGGCTGTCCAGATGTGTTATTAACTGATGCAGCCCGTCTGCAACGACAGGTGCCATCCCACCGACCAGCAGGGAATCATAACACTGCAAAAGGTGTTTTTTGGCGTTGGTGTTTGATGATGAAATAACTGACAAAGCAGCGGTATATGACGACATCGAAAAGAGAATGGGCTGGCAGTACACTTCATTTGCTGATTCTGACCTTAAATATAAAATTTGTGTTTTACAGGATCGCAACTTTGCAAGTTACTGTTGCTTTTGTGGTGATATCACTTTGAGGTTGAGAATGATGAATGAGGATGAAGAAGATTAGGGAAATGTCAAAACTGTAATGTTGAGCTGCATGATAAAGAATGACTGAAGTTGACCAAATTATCAGAAAAGAACTGCTGTGTTTGTCTATGTGTGTGTAGGTTTGTTGTTTTTTTTAGCCTGCTTTGCTGGTTCTAGGCTGACTGCTGCCACTGTGGCTTTCACACAAACCATTACCAAAGAAAAAGGCAGATATACACAAAGTGATGGAAAGTTGAGGGAGTAATTAATGAAATTCTTTTTTAGCTTTCTCTTGTTGCCTTCATTTTTTCTATTCCTCCGTCTATTGATCCAACCCTGCCCCACCTCTCTGCCTTTCACCCTCTTTCATCAGAGGAATCTGTTTCACATGCACAGGTTTCACTCAAAGCACCCTTTAACTGTTAACCTTCATTCTCTAACTCCACAGATCCATCATCACTCAGGTTATGTGTGAGCATATAGAAGTATATATAATATAGTGTTTCATAGGGTTTCATGACATTATGGGCCACTTGGTGGCACTGTGGTATTAGAGTCAGACAATAAGATTTTTTTCTGTGTTCTTTTCCCCCTTTTGGGTAGCAGTTTAATGAAGGAGCATAGAATTAGTGGAAGGTGTGAGAGCTACAAAAAAACAAGGGGGTGAAGAAGACAGGAAAATTGAGGTGGGGTGAGATGGGATGGAAAAATAAAGGAATGGGGGGCACTGACATATCCAGAGACACACAAAGAGAGAAAGAATTGGAAGACTTTGGATGTTTTGCATAGCTCAACCCTCATTTCCATGCCTAAGCCTCACTGCCTATTTTACAGTACAAGGAATGCTAAAACCGGAGGTAATATAACATAACAGCAGCACATAACCATGACTACCCGCTGCTTTCAAAATGCCAAGTCTCTAATAAGAGTATTTACTAAAGCTCCTTTTTATGGCAGATATTGCAGATATTCAGATGCAGTACCCTGCAATTAACTATCATTCCTTCTGTGTCTCAATTCCAAAGAGATTGAAAATAGCGATAATGATCCTCCATTAATACTTATAATGTTTGTGACCAGTGAACGAGATTTCATTAAAAAAAGAGTTCAAATTAAACTTCTGACTTTTTTAGTCTGTATTTATCTGTGGGAAGTTGAGCTAAGATACACTGTCTTGTTCCGTAACTCACATGAGTTGTATGAGTGAGCAGCTCATACTCAAACCCGTTCACATCCACCAGCACTTACAGCTCTAGTTTTCTTAAATAGCCACAGAGAAGATGAGACAAGCAGCTATAACTTCACTTGCTCAAGTAGGCAGTAGCGTTGGTTGTTGGAGGGTTGGTTTTCCAGTCCTTTAACCCTTTGAACTCTGTGAGTATGTTCAAATGCCGCATATCCCTAAGACTGTGCAAGCTGAGCTAAACAGTTATGTAAGTTAATAAACCAAAATAATTCATTAAGTATTGGAAATAAATTCATCGAAAAAAATCTGATGTTTTTTTCTTCCAATTTTACAAAATAAAAACACAAAGCATATTGATCCAAAAGAGTTTAAATGTAGAGACAAAAACAGAATATTTCTAAACACTACATTAATTATTCAAACTGTAAACCCCAATTAACTCACTCAACTTAAATTTGTTTTTCTTTTTTGTTTTTGTTTTTTAGGAACAGCTTGCACACAACACTTTTAGTTTAGTACAAAACAGTAACATAAAAGACCTGAGCACCCCAGACACAAAGAAAATGTGTCACAAAACCCTTGTCCAACAGGAACTTTTTCAGTTTCACATAATACTTTTTGTTGTTTGAGCATTTTATTTTATGTCAACTGAACATAAAAATGTTAAGTACATGTAACCCAGTAGAAAACAGTTACTATTGTTGTTCCCCTTAAAATATTATTTTTTATTTAATTAACCCTCTTTAGTTATTATTCTGTCAGTAATATTAATTTCGCACACTCTCAATTCTTATTTGTTGTATTATATAGATGGTTCGTGAGAGAAAGTAGCCCCACCCTCTTCTCGCGAGAGTTACAGTGCGGAGGGAGAATGCAGAGTAGTGCGGCGCGGAGTCAGAGCTACAGAGTCAGAGCAGCGATACGAGCAGAGGGAAATCACGGAAGAGAAAGTCAATAAGAAGTCACGAAAACAGCGGTTGTTAACTCACTTATCAACACAGGATAACCCGTGAAAGTGTACCTACCTGCAGCAGAGAGGTGGTCGAGGATCTGTGGGTTATTATTTTCGGCAGAGACTTGGTGAGTCGCTCGAGCTAACTAGCGCTAGCACATGCTAACTGTAGTAGCCACATCGTGATTCAGCTCGTGAGATGGCAGAAGACTTGTTGATACATGAACGTGACCTGCCGCTACTGTTTACTGTGTGTTTTAAGAGTTAAAACTGCATATTTTGCTCTGATAATCTGATGAAACAAATGAGGTGTGCTATTTATTTTCATGTGTATTCGCTTTGAGATGCACTGTTAGGGTGTGTGTCTTGTTAAATGCTGCTAAACATGTTCATATATCACAGAGGCAGAAACTCTGAAGCCCTGAATTGATATTCTGATGTGTGTTAAAGGTGCATTTTGCTAAATTTCAGTTCATAATCCAATGTTGTGAATTTAATGTGTGAAATGGTTAAAAAGGGATTAAAATGAACCATATTTCATGTGGGAAAATGAGCTAAAATGATCATAATTCATGGTTAAATAGCTAAAATAATTCATGTTGATCAAAAATGATTAAAAATGTGTGAAAATACTCACCTTAAGAAAAAAAGAAAGAACTGTACAACATAAAAAAAAATAATAATCATTTAATCACTATTGTGTTCCAGTAGTACGTTGAGATTTATGTATTGAATATGGCTATAAGAGAAGTTTGATGATTCTGTGTAGTGATAGCCCTGTCTTTATACAGGCTAGGTTTTGAGACCCTATAGAAACCTTTAGAGGTGGATCTGGATTCTCCTGATTGAGGGAGATGGCGAGCCAGTGAAGATTTTCCTTGCCAACGGAGTAGGGAACCAGCACCTGAGCCGGAAGAGGACATCCAACCCCTTCTTCACCTTAACTGATAGTGTCTGTGGTAGGACCACCACACACACTCTTGATGTGTGACCCCTGACTCTTTGAACTTTCCCTTGACTTGACATACACACAAAGCGCGCTGACTAACAACGACAAAACCTTAAAGGGACATTCAAGGAACCATTAAAGGAGAGTTACTGTTCCAATGGGACACTTTTATTTGGTTTTGTAATGAAAAAGAAAAACTGTGAACCACTGAGTGATCAGATGCCATTGCACTGAATTTTGTTTATTCTATTTTATTTTATTTTCCATACTGTTAATATAGTTGACTGCTTCCAACATACCGTGTGGCTCCATTTAGTTATTGTGTCTGTCAATTCCTCTTTAAACCCTCCTCCACGAACCTAGTCTCTGGTCCAAACTCTGAAGTAACTGGCGGGTTACATACATGTTTTACAACTTTTTTAATTATAAGTTATAAAAATATATTGTGGCAAACAAGTTTCTCAATCGCTAGAATAAGGCAAAGAGATGACTTCTGACCTAGGAAGTGCTCTTCATTTCACCTCAGCAGAACTTTATTTTATTTTTTTAGACACTCTAATATCTACACAGGCAGTCACCAGTCACTAACTGTGCATACAACTTAACTCAGGGTCCAAATGTCTTTTTACCACAACATTAACTGTAACCCATTAGAATCACTGTAAAATACAAGTATTATTCACTGTGTAATGGGTAACATGAGTGATTTAGAACACATTTAAAGACAGTTTTCTTCTGCTTACCACAATATGTTAAGTGCACAATGATAGTGTTGTTTATTGGCCTTAAACTAACTAGGCAAAATCAGCTTTATGAATTTTTGTCAAATTAACTCAAAATTCAGATATTGTAACATAAACATATAACATTAAAAAACTGTCAAGTTCACAAGAAATTAGTTTTTGTGTCAAGTGAACATAAAGTTTTAATGCCATTTTAACAACTGGGAGTATTTGTGTAGCCTTTACATTACTATTTTGTTTTATGGATGGATTGGGGTTTAGAGTGTATGTGCATTTTTTTAGTTTTTGAAATATGCACATTTTTATGAGCAGATCGCAAAGGCATTGTGATACATGCATCATTCATTCCTCTGGCGTCGCATGCATTTTCATGTGATCTTGCACCACAAGTAATATAGTACAATGACATCATTGCAAGCATACAATGTGATGACAAGGAGGACAGAAGCTGGACACAGCACGTGATCTGCAGAGAAGATGGCTGTCTGAGTCCTGAGCTCTCTCTCGCTTCCTACACTTTTTACCGCTACAGTCTACCAACCTACACTTTTTCTGCGCTAACTTTACTGAATGGCTTAATTACTTATTCATCATGGAAATGGCTGAAGGTTTGCGAAGCAAGTTAACACAAGACTCTGTCAATGACGCTGCTAACTTCAACAAAGAGCTGGCCACCACGATAGACTCCATGTTACAGAAGCAGCGTGTTTTCATTGAGGAGCAGTTCGCAAAGTTTGAAACCCGCTTAGACAAGATTCACAAAGAAGTTTCAGCAAACTCCAAAGCCATCACAAAGTTACAAACAGACCACAAGGTCCTCACATCATGCGTGACCCGAGCTGAGGAATCAATTCAGGTAAAGTGCAGCAGCATGGAAGCTACACTGGCTCGGTATGAGGACCGCTAACGCCGTGATAATCTACAGATCATGAACTTGCCGGAGAAAATAGAGAAAAGTGACCCCCTCGGATTCATCTCATCATCCCTACCGAAGTGGTTTTCTGCTCTTGCTGATGAGAAATTTGAAGTAATGAGAGCACATCGAATCGGCCCTGAACGCAACTCCGGACCCCCTCTCTTTATGGTTAAGATGCTCCGTGTCATGGATGGAGACAGACTCCTGAAGGCATCCAGGAATACTCCTGTCACGGTCGAAGGCAAAGAAATCCGCTTCGCCGCGGAGTATAGCAACTTCACTGCTAAAAGAGGATGGGAATATGCCCAGGCCATGGAAAGAGCCAGGAAGCTAGGCTTCACCACCTTTTTGCTTTACCGGGCAAAACTCAAGCTATCCCGCGGCGCTGAGGTGCACCTGTTCCAGATGCACATGGAGACTGAGGAATTTATCAGCGGCATCAAAAACGAGGAACTCTAGGCAAGATCTTTAATATTACTCTAGCATTGTGACATTACAATGTGTGGTCTTTCTTGGGCTCTGATGACTTAACTCTGCCTATCTGGTCGTTAAAGAAAGACTCACTAGATTTTGATGTCTTCTACACAGAACAGATAAGCCTTTTACAGCCGTGTGAATTGTCTGTTGGTAATTTATGTTGATATCATTGTTTTAATTTTAGTTAAATGCGGATGGTATTTTTAATCTATATCAATGATCTAGCCACAGTGTCAAATACCGTCTTCCCCATCTTATTCGCAGACGACCCAAACTTTGTTCTTTCCAGCAAGCATTTCAAAACCCTCATAAATGAAGCCAATACCGGCCTCCTAGTCTTTTCCAAATGGTTCCAAATGAACAAATTATCCTTAAATATCAAAAAAACTAACTTCATCTTATTTACAGGCAGGAAAAAGCATGAACCGAACAAAGCAAAGCTCTTTCTTGAGGCAAGCCTGGCATTGAAATTAATAGGGTATCCTCTGCCCGCTTTCTAGGGATCATGGTGGATGACCAATGCAACTGGAAAGACCAAATTAATTGTGTTGCAAAAAACAATATCAAAGTCTGTAGGAATTATCAGAATAATCAGTTCATTCCTCAACAGATCCACCTTGCTTACATTATACTACAGTCTAATATATCCATACCTAACCTACTGCAATCTGGTCTGGGCTAACACCTATCCCACCAATCTCCACAGGCTCTATCTGCTCCAGAAACGCTTTGTTAGAACTGCTACAAATTCAAATTTCAGGGCTCCATCCTCTCCACTGTTTTCCAAATTGAACATTATGACTATATTTGATATTAACATCATGCAAATCTGCGTATTCATCTACAAAACAATCCACCTAAGTCATGTATTACCAAATCATTTTCAACAACATTTTCGCACAAACTCAAGCTTCCACTCATACGCAACAAGACAAGCAGGTCACCTCCACTGACACTGTTGCAATACCACCAGAGGGCAGTACACCATCAAATACAAAGGGAGTCTGTTGTGGAATGAACATCACCAACTGGCTGACAGCTCTTCTTCTCTGGCAATATTCAAAAAGAGATTACTGTTGAAATTATCAGAACAGCAAATATTGATTTGACTATCTTAATATGCCTTCCCTTGAGCAACACTGTTTTTGCTAACCGTACCCTTCTTTTTCTCTTCTCTTTCTATTTATTTATTTATTAGTGTTATTACTACATCATTATTATTACTACTACGATTACTATTATCATTATAATCACATTCAATTTGTTATTTCCCTATCTTATTTTATTATTTTTTCTCTCATTTTATTTTAT